TGTGTTTTTGGATGGTGTACTTTTATTATTTTTCCATAAGAAAAATAGAAACAAAAATAAATTTATTATTTATTAAATGACATATAAGGTCAAACAATCACAAAAGTTTGGATATGGAAGGGATCCTCAAGGCAATGGCATATTATGGCTTTTTATATTTTGTGACCTGTCACAATCTGCTAAAGCTCTACTTTGAAATATAAATTCTCATGTCATGCATTTACAAATTATGCCCACAAATTGTTGAATTATGTATTATGTACATAGTACATTGCTAGTCAGTAAGGGCAATTTAGAGATGAGTAAAATGCTCCTCTAGCAGATAGAAGTTTAAATTATATTTGGTGAAGAAATAGTTAGCATAACAAAAAAATAAAAGCTGTTTGAAAGATAAGCTTTATGAATAAACCTTCAGGCTGGCATGAGTCACATTGTCTGATTACACACGGGGCACTTTCTTTCTTTCCTGCTTCTCTTGAGTCTGTTTGAATTCTTCACTGTAAAGTTTCAGTCGTCATTCGACTGTGTTGACAGGGAAAGTAAAAGATTCACCTTCAGATAAAAACATGAAGGGGAGAGGTTCCCTTTTGAGGTCCCCATCCTGCTGGCTATCACCCATTCTACTAGTAAACTCTTCTGAGAGGAAGGTGAATGGCTGCAGGCCAGACCTCAGAAGTTCAAACCCATATTCCCACACTTTTCCATTACTCACAAGAGAAATCTGGGTTTGCTTTTCATGAGCCAACTCTAGGTATTTCTATTTAAGGAAAAAGATATACAGTTTGAATACAGAGGAAGTAGTGATCACTTCTCATTGGAGAGTCACGTGAGGAAGGCTTATCAAAGGATTCAGCATTTGAGCTCAGGCTTGAAGAAGAACATCCATGATGAGTATGGGGGAGGGACAGTCCAGGCTGAGGCAGGAGCACAGCTAAGATGCAGGGGTATGGCAAGGACAATTGACAAATATCTCAGATTCCGTGAAGGCTGACTCTGATGTTTCCAGCTTTGATAAACTGGTGAAGGGTTGGAGTGAAGATGATGAATTTGGTTTGGGGCATTACAAGTTGTAGGAAGTTCAGTGCTGTGTTAGACCAGTATGCACATCTTTGCGAACTCTGCATTCAGTCATGTTAAGATGGTAGCTTGAAATAGGACATCATGAGAGTATTTACACTAAAGAAAACTGGCAAGTGCTACAAATTACTTTTTGTGAGAGTCAATTTATCAGTACATTATTGGTTGTAGTGGTGGTGGGACATCTCTGTGAAGTTTTCCAATCAGAATAGGATTTTAGGAGATAATTCAGAGCCAGAGATAGAGTGTTCAACCATTAGTCAGAAAAAAATATCTAAAGATATAAAGAATTTTAGATATCTTAGGAAAGATTGCATTATGAGAAATGGGATAGAAATGAGGCAATCCTTGAGGAATATTTATTTAAAAGGAATAAAAAGATTCTTAAGGACAAAGGAGACTTATAGAAGTAGGAAAAAACACACATTAGAATGGGTTAGAATAGGTAAACCTATCAGTGGTAAAAGACCAAAGCATTAATAAAGCAAAGCTAATAGCCATCATCATCATCATCATCATCATCATCATCATCACTATAGCAGACCACATTCATTAAACTATTTATGCCAGGGAACATATAATGCATTTTTATATATTATACTAGAGGCCTGGGGCACAAACTTCATGCACGGGACAGGGGGGAGGAGAGGATGTCCCTCAACCCAGCCTGCACCCTCTCCAATCTGGGACCCCTCAGGGGATGTCCGACTGCCATCCCTCTCACAATCGGGGACTGCTGACTCCTAACCGCTCGCCTACCTGCCTGCCTGATTGCCCCTAACCACTTCTGCCTGCAGCCTAATTGCCTCCTATCTGCTCCCCTGCCAGCCTGATTGATGCCTAACTGCTCCCCTGCTGGCCTGATCACCCCCAACTGCCCTCCGCTGCCAGCCTGATCACCCCCAACTGCCCTCCCCTGCTGCAACCCACCTCTTCCGTGGGGACCTGCCTCCTCTGTGCCATGCAGAGCCACTGGGCCCTGCCTCCACTTTGTGCACAGCCATCTTGTGGCGGCCATCTTGTGACAATGTCGCACGAGGGCGTCGCGCAAGGGTGTGACGCCACCTAGGCTTTTATTATTCAGGATAATTGAAATTTCAAATGTCATAAAAAGTATGTATTATTACCTTTCTTTGACATAGGAGAAAATTGAGGTTTACTATGATTAAGTACCTTATACAAAATGAAATAGCTGTTAACTGGTATAGCCAATACTCGCCTAAGGTCTGTGTCAGCCCAAAATGTGTTTCCAGAAACCGACTTGAACCTATTCCAGAGATTGTTTCATCATAACACACATTAAAACCTTGAATAGCTTTATTTCCTGATTCTGGTCATTTCTATGTTTACACTAATAAAGAAAATGTTAGAAAATTACAAAACAGAGAAGTAGCTAAATCTTTGTTTTAGTTTGCAGTTCCAACCAAAAATAAATTAAAAACTTGGAAACTCTAAATAAGCTTTTAGAGTTTTCTGTGGATATTAATTACCCAGGGTATATTTTCCCAATTATCACAGTTACTTAGCAGTTCGGATATTATACACTGCTTTACTTACAGTGAGAATGTAAAAACATAAATAAACATTCTTCATGTGACTGGCTTTATCATATCATAGAAACTCCCAAGTAAGTCAACTTAGCTTAGTCTTGATAAATTTTCAATATAAAAAAATAAAATTTTTAGTATATATAAGTAAGTAGTTAAGAGAAGTAGGTATTAGTCTTAATAAGTTATTTAATGATTATATTATGATTCTTTTAAAAGAGGGAAACTTTATTGAAATCTTAACACTTAAAAAAAAAGATATATCCCCTAGGATTTTTTTTTATCACAATCAAAGTTTAACCTGCTGCAATATTTTCTCTTGCATTTATTGCCCATGTATTGGACTCTAGTTATGTAAGATAACAAACTATGGTAACATAAGGTCAGGTTTTATAGCTCTTACTATGTGATAAGACTATTCTAAGGGCTTTAAGATATATTAACTAACATCCTATGAATTACATGCTATAACATCCCTATGAGTTAAGTATTTTTACTATACTCATTTTATAGGTGGAAAAACAGAGGCATAATTAAGTAACTTGACCAAGATTCACTGTTGGTAATTAGAAGAGCAGTTTTCTTCCAGAGAAAGCCCTCTTAACCATTATACAAGAGCCTTATAAAAAATCAAGACTATTAAAGTAGCAGGCATATAAGTAGTTAAATCTGATTTTACAACACACAAATTAGCCCATTCCTAATTAATTTTAATTTGGAAACACAGCTGAAATCATAAATTGGAGGAACTCAAAGTTGATTCATCTGATTACTTTTCAACAAATTAGACAAAATACTGTACAAGCATTTCAAGACGTGTCAGTTGATGCAAAATTCATCCACTTATTTAAAGCTGGCAAAATACATTATAAAAATCTAAAAATTGTTGCTGAATTTTTCTAGAAAAAGGTCAGAAGATATTCCTTATAATTTCCAACATAAGCATTGCACAGGAGCATTCAACCCTGAACTAAATCTAACTTGTTAACTGTAATTGTTTACCTTTGCTTTTATGACATATTCACTGTTATCTATGATTAATATAATGAAGAGTTTACAGTCAAGAAAACAAACTTTCAATTGCATGTCGTGCTAATGGAAAAATACAGATCAATTTTTACAGCAATTCTGTAAGTTCTATTTTCCAGTCTTCAGTTAACTGTGCTGCTACAATTAAGGAAAGAAGTGAAAAATACATCGTCAGATCAAAACATTAAAGGTTTCTCTCTCGTTTAAATTAAAAATAACCCTTACAGACACTTGTATATTTAATATTGGGTAGACAACATATTGGGGTGAAAGTAAAACACATTTACTTTTCCTTTGGGTGTTTGGGATTAGATAGATGCTGTCAACATTAGACTTGCAGTTACATACTCACTTTCACTTTATCTTTAGCTGATTGGTGGCCTGCTTGTCCCACAACTATAACCATTAGAGAGAATCATCTTTTACTGAGTAATAGTTTCTTGTGTAAAACATCTTACCTTTTTGTGAGTATTGGCAATTGCAGTTAATTGCTATAGCTAATGACTAGCTTCTCAATACCATCAAGGTATCGTCTTCTTATTCATTGTCTTCCATTTTCTATAAAGTCAACCCTGCTTTTTTCTGTGTAATGTAAACTGTCATTGAGATTTGGAGGGTATGAATTTCAACCCTGACTCTACTGTAGGTTATTAAGGTAAACTCTCATGTTCCCCCTCCCCCCCCCCAGCTTCTTTCTCTTTGAACTCAAGATATCTCATAGGAGTATTTTGAATTAACTCATTAAAAATTTTCTAACTGAAGGAGTTTCAAGGGCTTTTTAGTAATTATGGACTTGGAAAGTGAGTAAATTATAAGGCTTTAACCTTTAAAAGCAACAAAATCACTGAACAAAATCTGCATTTATGAGTTCAATAACACAGGATGAGGTCTGGTAGAAAAATTGCCTTAGGTTCAGAAATGTGCCATGTAAACCTCAGAATTCTGAGCTAGTACCAATCTTTTTATTTTAGACTAGAGGCCCAATGCATGAAATTGGTGCAAGGGGCTCGACCCTCGCAGCCATAGTGGCTTGCCTCAGCCCTCACAGCCCCGGTTTTGTCCGGAAGGTCATCTGGAAGGACGTCCGGAATGTCCGGAAGGTCGTTCAGCTGTCTGGACTAATTAGCATATTATGCTTTTATTATTTAGATTCTTATGTTCCCTGAAATCTTGGTTGTCAAAAGTATGTTGTCTTAGGTTGTGACAAAGACTGAAATATCTCCTGTCAGAAAGATCTTTGCCTCCTCTAGTCTCTACTCACTAAGCTGTACAAATACACAGAACTCTAACTTACCATCTGGGTTCCTTTTTCTCTTTTAAATTGTATTGCTGGTTCTTTCCCTCCAGGACCAATTACACTGAAGGAATCTAGAAGGTGACCAGAAAACCTCCTGTGAAAAACATTCACTCCAAGGATCCTGGGATCTACTAATACCAAGGTGAAGGGATCCCCATGATTCTCTGTGATATTGGAAACAATAGGGTTGATAGTTTATAACCCTTGATACACTTTATCTGCTTCAATAAAATATACCAAGAGTTTGTATACTAGGTAATGTATGAATGTCTATAGTAGAACTTAAGAGAATCTTACATGAATTTCTGATAACTCTTCATATACACAACCAAAGGTATTGCTCCACTATCATCAACATGTAAAACATTAGCAAGCACACATTTGTAATACCTTAACTAATAATAATAATAAAATAAAATAAAAAAATAAAAAAAACATTAGCAAGCAATCTGAAACTGATGCTGTAGAGACTTTTCTAGTAGTAGCCTATTTGGAAAATGATGTTAAACCAACCAGTCTATAAGAAGTACACAATTTGCCGAACCAGTTTGGCTCAGTGGATAGAGCATTAGCCTGCGGACTGAAGGGTCCCAGGTTCGATTCTGGTCAAGGGCATGTGCCTTGGTTGCGGGCACATCCCCAGCGTGGGGCGTGCAGGAGGCGGCTGATCGATCTCTCTCATAGATGTTTCTAACTCTCTATCTCTCTCCCTTCTTCTCTGTAAAAAATCAATAAAATGTATTTTAAAAAAATAAAAAGCACACAATTTTCCAAAGCCATAGAGATAAACTAGACTTTTTTAGTCTTGGCCCTAACTCTCAACTTTAACTTTTATAATGCTTCTGCAACTCTTGAATTTGCTCTATTTCTACCAGTGATGACTACTTTGATCTCACTAGCTCTTATCTTCACAGGCTATTTTCTGTGAAAATAAGTATTTAGAAAACTTTCTTAGCATTTCATGGACATTTCTAGATACATGTCTCATAAGAATTTGAATTCAGCGTGTTCAAAATTGAACTTTTTCTCTTTTCTTCCAAACAAACCCACTCCATCTCCTGACTTCTGTATTTCTGAACCTGCCATCACCCAGTTACTCAAAATTATTTTCCCTTTCTCCTCAGAATGTCAACTCATGGAGGTTGTACCTCAAATTTCTCACATCCTTTCCAGTTCTTCCATTCCACACTCAATAGTCTCATAACCAGTTTCCCAACCATCAGCTCTCATTATTCCAATCAGTTCTGTGAGCTACTTCCCAAATAATTATTCTAAAGAACAAATCCAATGATATCACCTCCTTGATGAGAAATCCTCGATGTTTCTCATTGAGAAACAAATTCCCCTAAATTCTTCTTTCTGGCATTGAAGATCATCCAAAATATACCTGGCACTTACTTGTCATGTCCTATATACTGATATGGACCTTCTGTTCTCACCAAGCTCAGCACCCCAATTTTCTCTGAAACTTTGCTTTGTTGCTGCCTTTGCTATTTTCTCGCTGAGAGTGATTATAGTCCTTTTGGTTGAGAATGGTACTCTCCAATAGAACTGTGCAAATGAAAATGTTCTACAATTCTGTGCTGACCATTATGGTGGCCAGAAGCCACAAATGCTTATTGAACCCATGTGGCTAGTGCCACTGAGAAATTAAATTCTTAATTTTATCTGATTAATTTAATTTTAAATATAGTTGGTATACATTATTATATTAGTTCTATTAGTTTCGGGTATATAAATATGTGTTGGCAAGATGTGGAAGAATGGAAACCCTTGTGAACTGTTGGAACTTCAAATTGATGCAGCCACTATGGAAAAGAGGATGGAGATTCCTCAAAAAAATAAAAATAGATGTACCATCTAATGAAGCAATTTCACTTCTGGGTATTTATCCAAAGACAACAAAACCCGCTATTTTGAAAAGATATATGCACCCTATGTTCATTGCAGCATTTTTTACAATGGCCAAAATACGCTATTAAATTAAATTGAAATTTCCACATTTGCTGGTAGCTACAGGAGAATGCAGATCTGGATCCCACTCCCAGCCCTAAGAATCATCTCCATCCTACAGTTCCCAGGCCAACCATCTATGATGCCTCTACTGATTTTCCTCGTTGGAGTGATTCTTCCTTTGACCTTTATGACAATTTAGCTATATCTTTTCATAGCTTGTATCACTCAGTAATAATATGAAAAAAAGGGATGAAAAGGTTGAATTCTGGATGCACATTACCTTAGATTAGCTGTGCAAGTTTGGACAATTTACCTAACTTCTCTAACTTTCAGTTTCATCATTTGCTAGTTGCTACCTCAGAGAATTGTTGCAAAGATTAAGTAGGGGGGAAAAAGTGGAAAGCTTAGTTTTGTTTTAGTATAAGTATCTGGGTGCAAATCACTGATTTCTTGGAATTCTGAATTCAGCATCTAGTGAGATTCACTCGTAACTTAAATGCAAAGACAAGTAGGATACAGTCCTGCCACTCTTCAACTCACAGACTGGTATGGGGGTGTATCATATCTTATCTTTTCTTCTGGATTTTGAGCCCTGAGGAGCAGAAATCGTATTTCCTTATCTTTATGGTCTGCTAAAAGCCTTGCACAACATCTGGTACATGGGAGACTATAAATAAATGCGGCTTATTCAACAAATATTTCTTTCTCTAACTATCTCTCCTCCTTTGAACATAGGTAGAATTGTTTTGTACTTTGATGGCATCTGGTTTGCTGAATCTTATGTTATAGTTATTCTCTAAGTAATCAATATAACATTTGAGGACAGTTTCTTTCATTGCTTTTCTTTTCCTATACTTACTTTGGGATATTTCTTTATGAAGTAGAATATCCTCTGAAGAATTGAGAGTAAACAAATAAAAATTTAATTTTTTTTATTGCTGTTGTTTTTAAAGAATGTTCTGGACATTGCCAATACATTTCAGATTCCTATGGGTCCCACATTGTAGCTACAACTTCATGTCCCTAGGATTTGAGAATTCAGCATATTTCATGTGCTCTTTATTTAGTTTTCTATATAATGGTTCACAACTCTAGTGTGTACCCATTATAAAAGGTAATTGTTGAATGAAGGATTTTTAGTGAAATGAAGTTGTTTGCCTAGGTGTGTTTTTTTTTCCCTTCCTAAATCTTATTTTACAACCATAATTTCTATTATTTGAATGCATACATGTATATTGCTCATATCAAAGCCATCATTTTACCCTTTAAAATACCAAGTGAGCCTGGCCATTGTGGCTCAGTGGTTGACTGACAACCTATGAACCAGGAGGTCATGGGCTCGATTCTTGTTGGGGCACATGCCCAGGCTGTGGACTTGGGCTTGATCCCCAGTGCAGGGGCGTGCAGGAGGCAGCTGCTCAATAAGTCTCTCTCATCACTGATGTTTCTATCTCTCTCTCTCTTCCTCTCCCTCCCTCTCTCTGAAATCAATAAAAACATATTTTTTAAAGATATAAGTAAAATAAAATACCAAGTAATTCTGATGGAACTCTGGTAAATGTGTTTTTTTCTAATTTATGATTAAAAGTTATTTCTGATTCTTCATTGCAAAACAGCAAATTAATTGTGAAATACAGAAATCACCATACAGTTTGTAACTGACAAAATTTCTTTAAATATAAAGGAGAAACTGGGTTAACTAAAGGTTTTAAGAAGTAAAAAATAAAACTTGATTGTCATGGTTTTTATGCATAAAGTCAGCAAAACAGAAGTATTGAATGACTATCAATATGAGTGAAGTTATGGATAAAGTATAACTGGATGAGTTCAATTTACTTTTTAATACTTCCTGTTAATTAGAAGAATGTGAAAAACACACTTAAATGCCAAATGCAAATTTTAGCTTGAGATTTGGGTAATATTTAAGTTCTTAAAATTATTTGCCACTGACAAGTAAGTTTTTAACTGGGTGGAATGTAATAAACTTTTATGTAAATCATCAGTGCTCTTGTAAAATCCAATTATTGGTTCATAGACCTTTTCTTACTAAGGCTTTGCACTTTTCCTTTGAATTTTTCACAGAAGATAATCACACAGGACAAACGCCCTATCAGTTCATCATGTGGCCACTTGAAAGCAAACTCCTATGAAAATGCAAGGCACTTTTGGCATATTTGCTATGATCCGTATGATTAATGTTGTATCATAAATTCTCTAGCTTATGTTTATAATACTCTTCAAACAGATTGGGTGGTTTCAGTATTCTCAACTAGGTGACCTTCCAGAATCTGTTAGAATCTCTAGCACTTCTAAACCCTTAGTTGTGTAACAATACAAAATTGACCAAAATTTGTCACTGAGTGATTATTTGAACAAAACCCAACAGAAATGTCTATTTTCTCAGCTGCGTTTGCAATTCTTTTAAATGAAAATGTTTTAAATGATATAGTTTCACTTAGGGACTATTGGAGGATAAAGTGTTTCTTTGATATGGGGAACAATAACATATAAAAGATATTTTTAAATATTACTTGACATTTAGGAGGGAAGTGAGCTAAAAGGAAATGGGTGGAATTTTACCTAATATATCTAACCAAAAATAATCTTAATCTGTTCAAATCAGTTTTCCTTTAAGATAGAATTTTATTATTTATTGCATTGATTTGTTGTTGAATAATATTGAAGGTTCCTTTTTGTAACTTAAATATGAAATGACTGTAAAATTCAGGGTTACCAAAGGTAATGGAAATTTGATTTCCTTTAAAACATTTAATGCATCTATTTCTGCATATTTTTCTAAGCTTATTTTACTAAATAGATTTAAAATGATCTCAAAGGCTTATTATGTTTTAATTCTGAAAGAGCTTATCAACTCCTGTCCCTTTCTTTTGCAGATGATTAAACAGAGGGCAGTACAAATTAAACGACCTGGTAGAAATATAGATTTTATGTGTTACCTTTCATTTCCCATTTTTGGAGGGTTTTGTTACATGCTTTTAAGCCTCTCAACTGTTGAATAATCTTTTTGTTTCTTCCATTTTCCTTCTCTCATGAGCTTACCCTCTAAATACATTTAGCTTTTACTCTTACATTTTTTTTCCAGAGTAACATTCAACCATTTCTTGCATTCAACTTTGACCAATATTAAAATTTTTTACAATAGTTTTTAATATAATGCCTTGTCCCCAAGTCTGTATCAGTTAGCTACTGTTGTTATATGCTACATAAGAAGTAACCCCAAAACTCAATTGTGTACAGTAACAAGCATTTATTTTTGTTCACACATCCGCAAATTGATGCAGTTTCATTGATCTAGACTGGGTTGGCTGTGTTTCCTGTCAAAACTGTCTGGCTACCTAAGCATGTTATTTTCATGGCAAAGGCAAAAGACTACATCTAAACTCACAAGTATATTTCAAACCTCTGCTAGTTTTATTTCACCAACATCCAATTGTCCAAAACAAGTCACACAGCCAAACACATCATCAATAGGATAGAGACAATATTCCTTCCAAAGAGATTGGGGCATTGAACAATGAGTGAACATTTGCTGAACAATAATTTTCCATACCGGTTCTGAAGCTACTCAAAACTTTGTTGATACAAACCCTCTCTTCAAATAATTTTGAATAAATACTTACTAGACACCAACTGTATATCAATATTATTCAATCCTTTATTTCTTGAACTCTCCCCTTTATGAAGATTTTGTGATAAGAACTCAGTAATGCTCTTTTTGGATTTCCTTCTAGATGGATTGGATGTACACAATTGGGAGGAAAATAATGAACACTGTTAACAATGTAAATTCACTGTTAGGGAAAATTTTACAATCAGTGTTTAAATTAACTATTAGGAAAAGCAGGAATTGTTGTGGAGTGACATTCATGAGAATTAGACCACCGACTCCAATTAGGTCTTAAACAGCAAGCGAGGATTTATTGAGCTGGCCAGTGACTACAGTTACAGCACCCTACCGAAGCAGAGGCTGAACTGCAGTGCCGACTACAGGAGTTACATTTTATTATTAAATTCTGTGGAGGCCCAGAGAAAAATATGTCTTTCAAATTCTGGGCCCCCAGTATGGAGGAAACTCTATTTATACTTTTTCCAGTCCTTTGTCTCCCAAATTTGGAATGAGACTTCCAGGCCTTCTGAGAAAGAAGGCCTGCATGCTGGGAAGGGGCCAGGAGACCATATCTCAAGGCCTGGCCTGATATCAGGACCTTCCTATCTATGTGTTTTAGGAACAGACAGCACAGCATGACCCGTCTGGCCAAAGTGCCAGATATGCAGCCCAGCACAGGAATGATTGTTTGCATACTCCTTCCCAGAGCACAGATTTTAAGAGTGTGGAATAAACATGGCCTTTCTCTAGGAAAGTTGGTCCATGCAGCCTGGCTCAGCAGTTTTGCAAACCCAGAAATAACATACTGTCAGAATCTTTGTGATCACATGCCTGCATATCTCACAACAATCTCTGCCTTACAGCTTTTTCTCCACTTATTTCAATGCTTGTGTAATTGGGTAGCCACTCTACAATTGTTGGTTATGTAGGTTCAAATTTTTTCTACAATAATTAATTATGTGAGGATCATACTTGTATATATACTAGAGGCCCAGTGCACAGATCAGTGCACCAGTGCGTTCCATCAGCCTGGCCTCAGCCCTCTAGCAATCCGGGACACCTCGGGGGATGTAGTAGTGTGCAAAGTGGCAGGAGGTGAGGGAAGAGCCAGAGCCTGGGCTGGGCACCACCCCGCTCCCCTGCTGTGCCTGCCACCACTGCTCTATAGCACTGCCGCAGAGGCAGGAGAAGCTCTCGCCACAGCAGCAGCACTCGCCAGCCCTGAGCCCAGCATCTGGCGCCCGCTCCTGGAGACCTCCAGCCGCACAGGCCCCGCTGCAGGCATCAAGAACACACCCCACAGGGGAAGGGATTTCCAGCACTACCCACTGAGGCAGGATGGACGGTGGCTGAGGGTTGGAAGGAAAATGGAAGAGGAGGAGGGTGGCAATTCCCACTTGCCTGCTGCTGCCCCTGCTGTGTGGGTGGAGGCTGGGGCCACCAGGACTTATCCATAGTAAATGGCTGTCAACTGAGTGGCAATCCAGCTGTGGGAGTGCACTGACCACCAAGGGGCAGGTCCTGGTGGTCAGTGCACATCATAGCTACCACTGGTCATCCGGTTGTCCAGTCGTTTAGACTTTTATATATATACACTAGTGGCCTGGTGCACAAAATTCATGCATAGGGAGGGGGGTGTCCCTCAGCCCAGTCTGCACCCTCTCCAATCTGGGACCCCTCAGTGGATGTTCGATCCCTGTGGGATCTGGCCTAAACTGGCAGTTGGACATCCCTCTCACAATCCAGGACCGCTGGCTCCTAACCACTCGCCTGCCTGCCTGCCTGATTGCCCCTAACCGCTTCTGCCTGCCAGGCTGATCACCCCTTAACTGCTCCCCTGCCTGCCTGATTTCCCCCAACTGCCCTCCCTTGCTGGCCTGATCACCCCCAAGGCTTTTATTAATATAGATATGATGCTTCATAGAAAATTTCACTAACCCTACTTTATAATAAGGGCTTGACGATTGAAGCATTGGGGCCAGACACCAAGATTTCCTTTCTTTGAATAGTGGAGGGAATAATTACCTTGTCTTTAAGTTGCCCTGAACATGAAATGAGATAATGACTTAGAAAAGTATAAAAGCACCATATAAAGACAACTGTCTTTTTCATGTACTGAAAAGACAATAAAGTGGTAAAATGAAAAACATTATTTTTATTCTCCCCCTTCCTTCCTTTACAGCCTTTATTTAAACTTTGAAATTTATAAAAATTTCACTCCTATTTTCATTTCTTTAAATTCAATATTATTTGTATTAGTTTCAGGTTTTATATTAGTTACAGAATAGTGGTTAGACAATCATATACTTTACAAAGTGTTTCCTGATACTTCCAGTACCCACCTGGCATCATACCCTCATTACAACACTATTGACTGTATTCCCTATTTAAGTGACAATAGGTTTACAGGTTCCCTCCAGTCTTCCTTTTGTGTTGCTCGCCCTTCCTTTTCTGTCTCACTTCTTCCCTCATTTTCTTTATATAGTATCTCAATTGGCCTGCAAAGCTCAGCGAAGGCACTGGGACACGCTTAATCCATTTTACAGACCAGAAAACTGAGGCCAACTCCAGTTGGCTGTGGAACTGGACTCAGTGCGCAGGGAGCCCTCACAGGCGTGCTCTCTGCCCTTCCTAAGGGGCAGCGGTGGGGCAAACAGAACAAACCTTCCCGCCAGGCTTCAGAGTCTCCTTCTCAAGCACCTCTTCATCGCGGACACTCCACATTCTTTCCTCTCCCCTGCCCTGCCCTCATTCTTTAATGCCCCCCCTTCTCCGGAGCAGGTGGTAGGCTTTGCACTCACTGTGCAAGTGTGCGCTGCCCTGGGGCTGGGCGGGCACGGGCTTGCTTTTGGGCCAAGGTGGGAGCGGGAGTACGAAGGCCCCCGGGCGATGCCCAGTTAGCACCTGGAGCTTCTCTGAATCGTGTCAGTCAGTCGGGTACCCTGCAGTGCAGCACCCCTCCACTGAAATGGCACCGCCCCTCAACTCCCGCCTCAGGGCTGTGGTCAGCGCCCTTCTGCCCAGATGTCCTTCCATGCATGCACCTTGTTCCCCGCTCGGCTGACCAGTGTCTTCAGGCCACTGCAGAACCTCACTCTGCAGGCGAGGCAGATCCCCGCCCGCCGGCCCCCTGCCCAGGCCCGAGCCCCCTCCTGTGCACCCCACCTGGCCAGGTTTTTGCCTTTGATCTGTGGCATTGGTGACAGCACACTCCTAGCAAGCCTCCTACCCAGAGGGGCACAGGGTCAGTTCTTTGCCCAGAATGTTAGAGGCTGCAGTCGCATTTGCAGATGTCGCCCAGAGCCCGCTGGTGAAGGCAGCGCCTATGTAGGGTGTCCTCATAGAGGGACGGTGCAGCACCGCTCTGCGCCCCTTGGGCCTCCCGCCTCTTGGCTGGCCACTTCACCAAAGCCACCCTGCTCACCCCGGGGGTCACCTCTTAGGCGGCCCCACAGTTCAGCTGGCACCTCTGCTAGGTCTCCACCCTCACCTGGGTCACCTCCTTTCTTCTGCATTCTGCCTTCATCCATCCCTCTCTCCTGCAGAGCTTGCGCTCCAGGCCTCAAAGAAAAAGACCAAGGCCAAGAAGGACAAAGCCCAAAGGAAGTGAGTCTTGAACCTCCACATTCCATTCTCTGGATTTCCTCCCGTACCTCCTCTCTGTGCCACATGGTCTCCAGGCAGCCTGGTAGAATTGGTCTCCCGGAAGCTGTGGATCTGTGTTCAGAGGCCCGACCTGGGTCTCAACAACACCATGCCTGCTGGAAAGGGCTGTTGGAGGAGGACTGGAGCCCATTGGTCATTAGCTCCCCAACTCCAGAAAAAGCACCACAGGCTCAGTTCGGCTGCAGGCCCCACAACACACTCTCCCCCAACCCCCTTCCCCTGCCCAGTGGTTGTGATATTATGGAGTCCCGGCCTAATTTGCATATTCCTCTCTTGTTATATAAGAGGATAGATTGTCTATGTCTTAGATTGTTTTTTAGGTTTGCCAAGAAAAAAGTTTTTTGGATGACAGAATATTATGTCTTATAAGGCATTTGACCCATCACAGGAGAGCTCTTTACATATGTATTTGGTTCTGCTTGCTTTGTTGCTATAGAAATGAGATGTAGCCTATGTAAATTACCTTTTCCTGGGTGCCCTAATTGTTGACCTACTTCTATATTTAACTAATATCGATGTTTATCACCAATCTTCTATTCAATCACTTTCTCATTCTTAAAGTCTTAAATTTTTAGTCATCTTCAGTTGACTACACATGTCTTCAAGTAATTTACATTTTTTTAAGTGGTGCAAGGAAGGGAAATGTTTTTGGAATCTTTGTGTGTTTGAAAATCTCTTCTAGTACCCTACATACACAAGAACTTCGCTAGGTACAACCTCTTTTTCTTCATAATGATTTAGATGTTGCTTCATTTCTTGCTGGTGTTAATTTTTCCAAAAAGAAAACTGAGGCCAGGCTAGCTTCCTTTCTTTCACAGATAACTTACATTTTCTGTCTGTATGTGCCTAAGACTGTTTCCCTTGTTTTTCAAAAATTTCCCAGATGTTTTATTAATTACAGAGTAGTCCTCTTGGTCTATTCTAGAAAATGGCATTTGGTTATTTTTTTTAATTCGTGCTACTGTGTCATTTGTTTTGACTTCTTTCTCAGGGATAGCTGAGACAGTTTAAAGCTCTGCCCAACTCATAACCTACTCACGGTCAACACACTGCTGTCTAATGAAGGGCTTCTAGGTACACCCAGAGGCCCTCTCCTCTCCTCTAGTCTGCTACCTCTTACTTTGGTCACGCTTCCCACACACTGGTACCTGAGTTCTGCCTCTCCACTTAGGCTGTTGTGTCCTATGTTCCCATGAAGCAGGCTGCCACACATTCTGTTCGGGGTCCGCCGTGTATGCCATCTAACTCCTGATTCCAGTGCACAACATTGGCTAAAGCAAGCCCTCAGGAGGCAAAGCCAAGTCTACTGCCCCAGATCTTTCTTATCCAACACAAGAATTCAGACACTCCAAAGAGC